TCTTCATTCTTAGTCACTCTTCAACCCATGGCTGCTTTGTCTGTCCTCTGCTCTACTGGAAACTGTCCTCACTAAGGTGACCAGCGGCCTACAAATTGCCTAATCCAGTGGAAATTTTTCTGTTCTTGCCTTTCTGGAACTCTGCTGATCATTTTATTATCCTGGAAATTTTGAGTCTTTAACATGTAAGACCTTTTTTCACACTTTCTTTTTTTTCCTCTATTAAATGTTCAGTTGCCCACTGCTCTCCAAATTGGTCAGAGTATCTCTGTGTGACTGTAGCCATCTGAACACTGCTGAATACTTCTTCCCAGTTTCAGTCTTGTGTGCTCACACTGCACTGCACAGTCTCCCCGTATTCATTCTCTTTTCAGTGTTTCGACCACCAAGTCACCGGAGCTGAAAACCTCAGAGAGGCCTTGATTGTTCCCGTTCCTCCACATTCTGTCAAATTTACCTCCTGTGTGTTTCTTGACCACATCCCTTCTCTTCTATCTTCATCGCCCCTTCTTGGTTTGGCTCTTGTGTCCTGACCCTTGTCTTCTGCCCTGGCTTCTAAATGATCTCTCTGCCTCCAATATTATCCCCTTAAAATGTGTCCTCCTAAGGTAGACACAGCCATACCTAAGGTGAAAACCTAACTCCTTGGCCCCTTTAAGCTCTTCCAGTAAAATAAGGGCCCTGTTGGACCTGACCATGCTGTCATGATCTGCTTCTTGCTTATACCTCTGGCCATGTCTCTTACAAGTCCCTGTCTGATAGTTGATAGTCTGCCAAACCCTACTGCTGATCCCATCTAAACACTACACCAGCCCACCTCATCTGGGCTTTGTGTCCTCTGTTCCTCTGTATGGCTAGTACACATACTTGTGTATGTGTGAGGCTTGTCTGAGACATCCTCTACTCTGGGAACTCTCGATGTGCCTCAGTTCAGGGCTATTTCTCTATGATCCCCCACTGCACTGTATCCACACTACACACACACAGCTGTCACCGTAATTTTCACATTTTAATTATCTGTTTCTGGATCTCTTTTCACTAAAAAGTGAGCTCCAGCGACTGTGGCACGGTGCCTGGCATAGATTTCTTTATTTTTTATTTTTGCTAAATTTGTTTCCTTAAATTGGGAATAAATGATAAAATATTATTTGGTTCAACATACCATTTATCTGTTATGTGACTTTCGACTATTTACGCTGTCAGGTCTGAGTGTCCTTGTCTATAAACAGGCTAAGTAATTCCCATCTCCCATCTTGTGATTGGGAGAATAAATAATGGATTTGAAATCATGTGTGAAATCTGCATAGCATCCGAGTGGGCATCTGTTGACACACAGCCAGTCAGTCTGCTCAGCCCAGAGTATGCTAATAAAGGTATTCTTATTAATGTTTGCTTCATGTTTGCGTCTATCTTCCTAACCCATGCTCTAAGTTTATGGTTGTCACAAGGAGAGTTCCCTTAGATAGTGCCCACATTAACTCACCACAAATAATAAATTGTCTTTGAAGAAAAATTTTTTAAAATTGTGGCTTTCTACTCATAATGTTTTAGAAATTGCTTAGTAGCAAATATATAGGAAAAATCCAGCTTATTTCAAGGAAGGGCATCTAGATATTTGGAAGAGTCATTTTATTTCTATATTATCAACTCTATTTTGCACATAATCCAAATGACTGGGATACTTCACGGAAAGAAACATTTTAGGGATGAAAGAAACACTAAGGAAATGGAAACGATAGCAGCTGGTTCGCTACACATCTGTGATGTAAGTAAACTGCAACTTTTTTCCTTTTATCCAGACCTTGCTGGATATTACTGATCTGATCTTGTTTACTTAGGTCTAGCAAGAGTCATTTCAGTAAGGGTAGAGGGGACCTTGCTTACTGTGTTCCTTATTAGTTCTAGAAGGGAAGTTATCTGGCAATTCACTGGGCCCTTGCCACAACACCAGGGCTAATTTGCTACCTTCCAAAGAAGTCCTGGATGGAGGGGCACAGGAGTTTGCCCCTTGTCATCTCTTTAGGAAACTTTTTTTTGAGTTGAAGAGTCTCCCCAAGATTTGTTGACTTCTAAAATTTGGTCTCTGGCAAGAATTACTGAAAATAACACCAAGGGAAGGCGAGTGCCCTTTAATAGATATTACTAACATCATCATGTAAGCCTTTTATGCAACATACAACTTAACCATTCTGATCTCCACTTTATAAATCTTGATGTACAAACATACATTAAAGTGCACTTTTAAAAAGATGACAGTGTACAAAGCATTGTGCCTACATGTCAATATTTGAGGAAAAATGTGAAAATTACTTTCCAAATGACTAAAATTTAACTAATATTTAATTCTTGGTTGCTTGCTAATGTGGAAATTATAGTAATGGTATAGGTATGTCAATCGTATATTTTTAATAAATTTCTATCTAGATATATGAAAGCACATTTGTAATTCTTTGCCTTATTTAAAAATAATAGTTATGATATATAAAACTTTATTTATAACAGCAAAACTTGTGTTTCTAACATCACCAGCTTGTCCATACTACAATTATTCAGAAAATAAAGATCAAGAAAAACCTGAATAATAATAGCCCAAAGTTCAGCTTCTGGTTATAATTTTTTAAAAACTCTATTTTCAAGTCTACATCCCTGCTGCAACAAACACCACAAACCACATTACTTAGCACCACTTTAACTAATAGTTAATCTGCCAAAATTATTCATAATTTTTTGAAATTATCTTCTATTTTTATTTGTAAATATTAGTTGTCCAATTTTTTTTTTTTTTTCAGTTTTTGGCTGGAGTGGGCTTGAACCTGCCATCTCCGGTATATGGGGCCTGCGCCCTACTCCTTTGAACCACAGGCACCACCCTAGTTGTCTATTTTTTGAGCCTTTGGAAAAAATATATATATACCGTCTGTGATGATGGAAATGTTACTTGACATGTAACTGTATTATTCATGTATATTTTACCACAAAAAAAAATGTGGTATATCCATTAAAAAAAAAAAAAAAACTATCATAAGGTCAAGACATATTGGGCCTGCCTAGAACTTGTCTGTTCCAGAAAAAAAAGAGACTCTCTTCTTGTACCCTACAGACTTAGTACTGAGTAACCAACAACTGCACCACACTTCAGTGGGGAGACACAAGAGCATTGAAAGAGACTGGTGAAAACCAAGGCTGGGGCAGAAACACACAGAACAATTCTTTTGCACCTCAGGCCCTTTTCCTAGCTTGAGTAATTCACATCTAAAGATGTTTATAACAATAATGCCCCAAACCCAACTCACCTCCAACTAGCCTGCCACCAATGGTCTGACTGACAAAGGCCCACACTAATTTTCAGGTGCAAATAATATTTACCTCTGTTAGTACTGATCCCCTACAAAATATTGTGGACACGTAATTTAAAAATGCAGAGGCTGCCAAAAAATGCACATACATTTTAAAAAAGAAATAAACTGAGCACCTCTTGTAATTGATTTGTATTCAGCATGACTTGTATTCATCCCTGATTAAATGTATGATTAGCGTGAAGCAGCACAGAACTTATAAAGAGTTGCCAACAAACAGCTTCAGTTTGCCAATTGATTGAGAGGAAAGTGAGATTAGCATTCTCTGGTAACAACTGGAAACATCTGCCCGAGTGGATAGGAGGTGTATATACTGTATAGAATTATGTGAACATGTCTATGAATTCCAAAAATGAACATATTCACTCCCAAATCAAGAAATTGAATATTACTGATGCCTGGAGGGCCTCCTGCCCTCTCTCTAGCCACCTCTTCCAGAGTAATTTCGACTCTAACAGTATAGATTAGAGTTACAGGTTTTTGAGTAGTGTTTGTCAACCTCTTTTTTTTTTTTTAAATCTCATGGCACACTTGAACCTATTGTTAAACTTCCACAGCACACGTAAATTATGTTGATCGAAAAAAGTAAAAAAAAGAGAATATACCTACTGTGTTTTGAATTTATTTTGAAAATAATTTACTAAATGATCTTTAAAAATTTCTGAGATACCTAAGATCTTCTTACAGTGATTTCAAAAATTTTTGAATTTTATGTAACTGGAATTGTATAATATGTACTACATTGAATTTGCTTATTTCAGTCAATATTATGTTATGAAATTCATCCGTTTTTGTAAAACAATGCTTTTCTATTCATTATTGCATGTTTTTATAAACTGAATGTCTGTGCCACCTAAATTTGTAAGTTGAAACTTTAAATGCCCATGTGATAGTATTAGAAGATGGAGTCTAGGTGAAGTCATGAGAGGGTGTATCACTCCATGATGGGATTCTTATTTTTATAAAAAGAGAAAACAATCCCCGCTTCCTCCATCAAGCAAGCATATAACAAGACTTCCAGTCTCCTGAACTATGAGAACTTAATTTCTGTTGTTTCAGTACCCAGTCTCAAGTAGGTTGTTATGTTATCCTAAGCTACCTAAAAATCGTTTTGAAAATATATATTGAAATTTCAAAATGTAATTAAGATATCCTCTCAAAAAAAGAAATTCTAAGAGTATATATGACATCTCAGTTTTGTTGGTTCTTGCCCCAGTGTGTCTGGAAACTTAAAAAAAAATTATTCACCCGTGTACAACTTTAAAGTGTGTTTCCCCACCAAAGTATTCAAATGCAAATGGTACAGTTACTACACTTCCCGAGGCTGTTTATTTAATCGCCACATGTTAAGAATGTCAATCCCATTTTTTCCCACTATATGAGAAGAATGGAAGGAGGAAGGAGAGAGATAACGAAGAGACAAATCCAACACACAGTGTAAACATAAATTGTGACCCAAATATTTTCTATACTAGCTAATTTGCCTTATCTGTACTGATCCTCTTTGGTGACGACTATTAAACAGTATGAAGGCAACACCACAACCTGAACAGAATCAGCAGAATCAGTGAGATTTTGTGGTCTCTCTGGAAGAAAATCAGTAAATTATATCCTTAAAAAACAAAGGGGAAAAAAAGCGCTTACTTTCTGTTTCTTTTCCGGACTCGGCTGTAGGCTTCCAAACCTTCTGTTAGTGTCCTCAACTTCTCGGGCTCCACCTGAGTGAAGGTATGAAGACCAAACCACATTACCCAGACCTGCAATTGTCAAACACCGCTTTTACTTTGCTGCTGTACAAACAGGTGCTGCTCTGGGGGTGGGTGGACTGGGGAGGCTTAACCGTCACTGCCTTGTCAAATGTCCTGTCCTCACTCAATCATTAGAGGTTGACTGAGCCTCTGATGTCACATACAGCCTATGACATCAGTGCAAATGAAAGACAATTTTGCTTTGAAATTGTCAACATTTTGAAAATAAGTTTTAGGAACAAAACCTGGAATGTAAACAACTTTCAATTCATAAAATTATATACATCATAGATCCTGGCTCACTTTTTCCACTGTCTGATGCTCAGGAGCTGTGAATCTGTATCCTGTCAGAGAAAGATGGAGAGTGCTGGGCAGTGAAGGGTCAGATTTGGAACCAACAGATCAGAGGCTGAATCCCACCTTTTCATTTCCTAGCAAGAGTAAAACACTTCACATTTTCTGAGCCTCAGTTTCCTCCTCTTTAAAGTGAGGACAATAAGACTTACCTTCCTGCTAGAACTGCTGGAGAATTAAAACATGACAAGTTGTGTTGAACACTTAGCCAGCAAGTGGGGCAGAAGGTTGTGCACAGTCTGTCCCGTTGTGGGAAGAGCATGTTGCTATACCTATGAGTGTGTCCCCTGTCCTGCCTAATTTATCACTGCCAGTCTGTGTGAAGTCTGCCAGCTCAACAGAGTTCTGGGGAGTGTGGCTGGGGAGCTTGTGCCATGTGTGTTGTGGGGGAGGGGTGTAGCTTTTGCCTCCTCCAAATAATCTCTATTACGATTCTTGAAGCCACGCCCCTCAAAAAGTTAATAATTAGGAAAACTTAAATATGACTTGTGAATAAAAATGTCTTTAGGAAAATCATTACTATTTTTATTGATTGGTAAAAAATATTTTAATTAAAGACAGTGTTGCTTGTGCTGTAACACAGCTTCAAGGTAAATACCACAGCCATGCCTTACCCCAGTTTCTCCTTCTCCCCTAAGCTATTCTTATATAAAATTTCAAAATGTCTCCTGGGTGAGATTATTATTAACTTTTGTCTTTACATGTCTTCATGACTGATTCATGAATGTCATTTATAAATAACTTCTTTATGACCCCCTTCAAATCCAGTACACAGTAATGTTTAACAAAGGGTTTCCATTATTAAGTCTGAAAACAAGCACTTCTAATTATTCAATGAGAAAATTATGGAAATATTTTTCTTTTCCTTTTTAATTACCTTTACTGGTTTGACTTTTCATATTTTTTATTTTGTTCTAAAGAATCCAAATATGTTATACACACAAGTTCACTGGGGATATCTGATCCACTATGTGCTAGATTAGAACAAGAAACAACTTTGTTCCAATAACATTTCACATGGAAAAAATTGTCCTATGGGGATACAGAGATCACTGGAACATCTCAGGCAAGCTGAGTATATCCATATATTGTTTAAAAAAGGGTGCCTGGATGCATTTTCATATTTCATGTTAGATATGAGTTTCCATCTTGTATTCACTCAAAGGAAGTAGGAAAGATATTTTTCATGTTACATTTATATAATTAATACCTAATTCCACTTATATTTAAATGAACTTCTGGGCAGCAGAAAGGAAGTTGCCCTATAGTATAAAGTTCTGTTCAACGAAAACTGGGGCAGTGAGAGACCTCAGAAGGGTTGATGAGGCACATAGGGCAGATTCACAATGGAACAACGTCAGAAACAGCAATGAAAACTTTCCCCTTTGGTCTTAATTTAAAAAACAAAGTTAGGTCAAACTATTTTTGTAAGTCTTCCATTTTTATTTTTAATTAAATAAGTAATAAGGGACCGTAGAAACATTTCCTATGCATTTATTGTGTAAAAGGCACTGTTTTATCATTTAATAGGATACTATTGCAAATTTGTATTATTTGTGTATTACCGATGGGATTCAGTGAGTTTAAATAACACGGCAGGAATTGAAACTCAGGTATGACTCTGAAGCACTCAACTTCTTGCCACTATACCAGTTCTAACATACATTGAAATATATAGTGTTTTATATATATAAAGTGTATATTTATTACACACAGACACATAAAATATACACATGCAGGCACACTCAAAAAATGAGGTCAAACTATTTAAAATTAAAGTATATTTTTACAAAAGTTTAGATGACAACTTGACCAAATTTATCTTCAAAATTTTGTTTTGCTTGGATACTTTCCTGGTTATTTTTTTCTGGAGTAATTTTCTACCATGACTTCTTCATTTAAATCTGTCTCTAAGGCACTAAGGTACTCTCATAATGAACTATGTTATTTATAAAGTATTCAATGACCTCAAATGAGAATGTAATGCTTGTGCTTTCTAACATTAAATATAAGATACACAGATATCTTATAAGGGAGCATTTCTAGTATGACAAAATCAAACATATCTGAAAGAAAATGTTCAGTTTATTTTGCCTTAAAATTCTAACTCTTAGCTGTTTTGTGAAATATAAATATATACAAAGAGTATGTGTTGTTTCTGGGGAAATATTCATATACTTGAATAATATTCAAGAAGTTCTTTAAAGATACCACCAAAAATAGTATCAGAGAAGAACAAAAAAATTAAATTTCTAGTCAAATAGAAAGCAAATTTAATAATGTATTAAACATTCCCTTGTAAATTACTTAGCTAACTTGTAAATCAACAAAGTACTGGGAAATCAAATATAGAAATGTAACATTAAAAAGTTTAAGCACAAGCAAATTATTTTTATCACATTTACACTGTAGGAGCAATTTAACATACTTAAAATTTTTATCCCTAATTATAATCTTATATTCTTGTATATTCACAAGCTAAGGGTCCTATAAATTATTTAATTCCTATCTTCATAAGAATTTGGGTGAGGACTTTATAATTTATCTTTACTCATAATAATCTGTCCACGTAGTTTTATCCTGATAATAACAATGCTAATATTTAGTAGTAATGGCCATCATGATTTAATTCTTTACACATATGTCTTTTAAGAATTAGGAAAAGATACCTGGAATTTATACGTCCTTATATTTCACATATTACTTCATGTCTAAATATACACATATGTTAAATATTTTTGATGCTTAAAACTCTTCTTTAATTAAAATCCCTTACATAAAATAATTCTTCAATGTAGTCTCACAGTCTGTTCAATGAGGTTAGAAACATACTCATAAATCCAGACACTATTATATGGCAGAGGATTAGGAGTTTTTCTGAACAAGGCTGAGTCTCTGGTTGCTTATTTGCATATTTTGTTCACAAGGCACATGTTAAAATTTGGCAATTTAATCAAGTTTGATCTGGGATAAGCACCATGGCACCTAGTATCTCAGAAGTAACTTAAAGTCTGTGACAAATGGAGACATGAACCTTTCAAATAGCCCAACCTATCTTCTCAAGTGAGGTATAGTACATACTGGAAGAGCCTGGGTCAATGATAGAGCCAGTTCACTAGAAAGGACACTAACATTTCCTGCAGGATTTACTCCTGGTAACACTTCTTTTTGTGAATCCTTTGCTGCTACTTAGTGATGAAGTCACATAAAAGTCAAATGATGGAGCACTAGCCACATCCCAGATTTCTTACCGGAGATAAGACACTGACCTCAGGCTCCCCTTTTCATTCTTCACTTCCCCATTCCTTTTCTATCATGTCCTGTTGTGGGGGAATGGTGTAATACAAACAGTAATAAGCTCAGAGTTAGAAGACCAGCGCTGGGACCTGGCTTGACTACCTGTGACCTGTGTTCTTAGGAATACCATTTCTCTGAGGTTTGGGTCTGTCACCTATAAAACGGGAATAATTATGAACATTTTTATGAGTCATTGAGAAGATCTAAAAAAAACCATGAACTATAGGACCTGCCAAAACACCTGGTTAGTTTTTCTATTTTCAGTAGAGACAGGGTCTCACTCTTGCTCAGGCTGTTCTTGATCTCCTGAGCTCAGGTGATCCATCTGCCTCTGTCTGGGATGACAGGTATGAACCATGGTGCCTGCCATTGCTCCCTCTTTAAGGAGACGCTGGTGCTTACAGGACATTGATTGCCCCTGCTATACCACCAGTCAAAATGCAGCCCAAATAGTGTGGATATT